TGTTAAATAATTTAATGTGATTGAAAAATAGTTAATTTTCAAAAAAACACAACTTCTTTATTTGTGAAAATTATGAAACAATTTATATCGGAAATTAAAGCTGAAGATGTCCTCTTTCGAAAACTGTATGGTGTTTAAAAAGTTTATATGAAAAAGTTTTGAGAAAAAGATAAAATACTTTTGTTAGATAATTTTATTCGATTGAATAATAATTAATTTTCAAAAAATCATATCTTCGTTATTTATGAAAATGAAGAAATGATTTACGGCTCAAATTGAAGCTGAAGATGTCCTCTTCGAAATCTGTATTGTCTTTAAAAAATTTATGTGAAAAAGTTTTTAGATAAAAGTTAATTACTTTTATTAGATTGAAAAACAGTTAATATTCAAAAGATCCATAACTTCGTTATTTATGAAAATAAAGAAATGATTTATATCTCAAATTGAAGATGAAGATGTACTCTTTCGAAACCTGTATCGTGTTTAAAAAGTTTATATAAAAAGATTTTGAAAAAAAAATGTATAACTTTTATTATATAATGCAAATCGATTAAAAAATAGTTAATTTTCAAAAAATCATAAGTTTTTTACTTATGATAGTGACGAAACGATTTATGGCTCAAACTGAAGCTGAAGATGTCCTTTTTCGAAATCTGTATGGTATTTAAAAAGGTTATATGAAGAAATTTTGAGAAAAAAGTTAATTATTTTTGTTAGATAATTTAATGTGATTGAAAAATAGTTAATTTTCAAAAAAACACAACTTCTTTATTTGTGAAAATTATGAAACAATTTATATCGGAAATTAAAGCNTTAAAATGAAGACATGATTTATGGCTCAAATTGAAACTGAAGATGTCCTTTTTCGAAATCTGTATGGTATTTAAAAAGTTTATATGAAGAAATTTTGAGAAAAAGATTAATTACTTTTGTTAGATAATTTAATGTGATTGAAAAATAGTTAATTTTCAAAAAAACACAACTTCTTTATTTGTGAAACTTATGAAACGATTTATATCGGAAACTAAAGCTGAAGATGTCCTCTTTCGAAATCTGTATGATATTTAAAAATTTTATATGAAAAATTTTTGAGAAAAAACTTAATTACTTTTATTGGATAATTTAATGCAATTGAAAAATAGTTAATTTTCAAAAAATCATTACTTTTTTATTTGTGAAAATTATGAAACGATTTATATTGGAAATTAAAGCTGAAGATGTCTTCTTTAGAAATCTGAATGGTATTTAAACAGTTTATATAAAAAAATTTTGGGAAAAAGACTAATTACTTTTGTTAGATAATTTAATTCGATTAAAAATGAGTTAATTTAAAAAAAAACATAACTTTGTTATTTATAAAAATAAAGAAATGATTTATGGCTCAAATTGAAGCTGAAGATGTCCTGTTTCGAAATCTGTACGATATTTAAAAATTTTATATAAAAATGTTTTGAGAAAAAAGTTAATTACTTTTATTGGATTAAAAAATAGTTAATTTTCAAAAAATCATAACTTTTTTATTTGTGAAAATTATGAAACAATTTATATTGGAAATTAAAGCTGAAGATGTCTTCTCTAGAAATCTGTATGGTGTTTAAACAGTTTATATAAAAAAATTTTGAGAAAAAGATTAATTACTTTTGTTAGATAATTTAATTCGATTGAAAAATAGTTAATTTTCAAAAAATCATAACTTTGCTATTTATGAAAATGAAGAAATGATTAATGGCTCAAATTGAAGCTGAAGATGTCCTTTTTCGAAATCTGTATGGTATTTAAAAAGTTTATATGAAGAAATTTTGAGAAAAAGATTAATTACTTTTGTTAGATAATTTAATTCGATTAAAAATGAGTTAATTTAAAAAAAAATCATAACTTCGTTATTTCTTAAAATGAAGACATGATTTATGGCTCAAATTGAAGCTGAAGATGTCCTTTTTCGAAATCTGTATGGTATTTAAAAAGTTTATATGAAAAAATTTTGAGAAAAAAATTAATTACTTTTGTTAAATAATTTAATGTGATTGAAAAATAGTTAATTTTCAAAAAAACACAACTTCTTTATTTGTGAAAATTATGAAACAATTTATATCGGAAATTAAAGCTGAAGATGTCCTCTTTCGAAAACTGTATGGTGTTTAAAAAGTTTATATGAAAAAGTTTTGAGAAAAAGATAAAATACTTTTGTTAGATAATTTTATTCGATTGAATAATAATTAATTTTCAAAAAATCATATCTTCGTTATTTATGAAAATGAAGAAATGATTTACGGCTCAAATTGAAGCTGAAGATGTCCTCTTCGAAATCTGTATTGTCTTTAAAAAATTTATGTGAAAAAGTTTTTAGATAAAAGTTAATTACTTTTATTAGATTGAAAAACAGTTAATATTCAAAAGATCCATAACTTCGTTATTTATGAAAATAAAGAAATGATTTATATCTCAAATTGAAGATGAAGATGTACTCTTTCGAAACCTGTATCGTGTTTAAAAAGTTTATATAAAAAGATTTTGAAAAAAAAATGTATAACTTTTATTATATAATGCAAATCGATTAAAAAATAGTTAATTTTCAAAAAATCATAAGTTTTTTACTTATGATAGTGACGAAACGATTTATGGCTCAAACTGAAGCTGAAGATGTCCTTTTTCGAAATCTGTATGGTATTTAAAAAGGTTATATGAAGAAATTTTGAGAAAAAAGTTAATTATTTTTGTTAGATAATTTAATGTGATTGAAAAATAGTTAATTTTCAAAAAAACACAACTTCTTTATTTGTGAAAATTATGAAACAATTTATATCGGAAATTAAAGCTGAAGATGTCCTCTTTTGAAATCTGTATGCTGTTTAAAAAGTTTATATAGAAGAATTTTGAGAAAAAGATTAATTACTTTTATTGAATTAAAAAATAGTTAATTTTCAAAAAATCATAACTTCATTTTCAAAATATCATAACTTTCTTATTTATGAAAATGAAAAAATGATTTATGGCTCAAATTGAAGCTGAAGATGTCCTCTTTCGAAATTTATGTAATATTTAATACTTTTCTATACAATAATTTTCAGAGAATAAGTAATAACTTTTATTAGATAATTTTATTGGATTAAAAAATAGTTAATTTTCAAAAAATCATATCTTTTTTATTTATGAAAATGAAGAAGCGATTTATGTCTAAAATTAAAGCTGAAGATGTCCTCTTTCGAAATCTGTATGGCATTTAAAAATTTTATATAAAAAATTTTTGAGAAATAAGTTAATTGCTTGTATTGGATAATTTTATTCGATTAAAAAATAGTTTATTTTCAAAAAATCATAACTTTTTTATTTTGGAAAATNCCTTTTTCGAAATCTGTATGGTATTTAAAAAGTTTATATGAAGAAATTTTGAGAAAAAGATTAATTACTTTTGTTAGATAATTTAATGTGATTGAAAAATAGTTAATTTTAAAAAAATCGTAACTTCGTTATTTCTTAAAATGAAGACATGATTTATGGCTCAAATTGAAGCTGAAGATGACCTTTTTCGAAATCTGTATGGTATTTAAAAAGTCAATATGAAGAAATGTTGAGAAAAAAATTAATTACTTTTATTAGATAATTTAATTCAATTAAAAATTAATTAATTTTAAAAAAATCATAACTTTGTTATTTATGGAAATAAAAAAATGATTTATGGCTCAAATTGAAGCTGAAGATGTCCTGTTTCGAAATCTGTACGATATTTCAAAATTTTATATAAAAAAGTTTTGAGAAAAAAGTTAATTACTTTTATTGGATTCAAAAATAACTTTTTTATTTGTGAAAATTATGAAACGATTTATATTGGTAATTAAAGCTGAAGATGTCTTCTTTAGAAATCTGTATGGTGTTTAAACAGTTTATATAAAAAAATTTTGAGAAAAAGATTAATTACTTTTGTTAGATAATTTAATTAAATTGAAAAATAGTTAATTTTCAAAAAATCATAACTTCGTTATTTATGAAAATGAAGAAATGATTTATGGCTCAAATTAAAGCTGAGGATGTCCAGTTTCGAAATCCGTATGGTATTTAAAATTTTATATGAAAAATTTTTGAGAAAAAGATTAATTACTGTTGTTAGATAATTTAATTCGATTAAAAATGAGTTAATTTTAAAAACATGATAACTTCGTTATTTATGAATATGGAAAAATGTTTTACGGCTCAAATTGAAGTTGAGGATGTCTTCTTTCGAAATCTGTATGGTGTGTAAAAAGTTTATACAAAAAAATTTTGAAAAAAAAATTTATAATTTTTATTACATAATGTAAATCGATTAAAAAATAGTTAATTTTCAAAAAATCATAACTTTGCTATTTATGAAAATGAAAAAATGATTTATGGCTCAAATTGAAGCTGAGGATGTCCTCTTTCGAAATTTGTGTAATATTTAATACTTTTCTATAGAAAAGTTTTCAGAGAAAAAGTAATAACTTTTATTAGATAATTTTATTGAATTAAAAAATAGTTAATTTTCAAAAAATCATAACTTTTTTATTTATGAAAATGAAGAAGCGATTTATGTCTAAAATTAAAGCTGAAGATGTCCTCTTTCGAAATCTGTATGGTAGTTAAAAATTTTATATAAAAAATTTTTGAGAAAAACATTAATTGCTTGTATTGGATAATTTTATTCGATTAAAAAATAGTTAATTTTCAAAAAATCATAACTTTTTTATTTTGGAAGATGAAGGAACGGTTTATGTCTCATATCAAAGTTAAAGATGTCTTCTTTCGAAACGTATACATACAGGGTGTTCAGAAATTCGCGGATAATCTACACGTAGCGACATTCGACGACCGACTCTGAATCGAAAATCTTAATGTTAAAATGTTCTGCTATGTTGCCAAATGTGTTTTTCATGAAGATATGATAATGAAAAAATGTTAAAAACGAACTTTAAAGCTAAAGAAAATAACTTTAACTAAAAAACTAGTTTTCAAAATTCTTTTTATTCTAAATTACAGCTTATTTATCAACAGATATTGAATATTAATGATTATTTATGTCCATAAATAAGTTATCCGACCTTTGAGAACCTCATGAAGAACCTTATCAAAAATAACTAATTTATGGCTCATATTAAAGCTGAAGTTGTTCTCTTTCGAAAAATATATAATATTTAAATATGATGACATTAGTTACATAAAGCTAAGCCACACCGAAAGCAACACTAAGGAACATTGTGTTTATGTTGCTTCATCCTGGAACTTGTATCTCAAAGTCTTTGGATGTTCCTTATTGCTTATGGTTGCAGAACCAAATGTTCTTACAAGTTGCTTGTTTCCGCATTTAGCGATAAATACCATTAGGATATTTAAACATGTAAACATTTTTATTTCGGATACAGAAAATATTATACATTTACTTGGGATATACAAAAATGCAAAAGTACAAAAGTTCTTTAAATTTCCATTCTGCTATTAAATCCTTAAATTTGCCTGTACATCATCATCGCACCACATAGTATGCAAATGCTGAAACAAACACTAATCTGATGTAGACGGAAATTTCAGGTTATTACAATCCTTGTGAACTTACCTTAAGAAGCAACTTTAAGCAATCTTTAATTTGATAATTTCTTTTGTGTAATATTCATGCCGATACCTAAAGAAATCGTTTTTAACAGCTTTTAACTAAAAAAAAAACTATCAAGATTAATTAAGAAATTACCTTAATAAAAATACTTAACGATTAAATTAGCACTCAAATTTAGAAATNCTTTCGAAACGTATACAGGGTGTTCAGAAATTGGCGGATAATCTACACGTAGCGACATTCGACGACCGACTCTAAATTGAAAATCTTAATTTCTAAACTAAAAATTTTCTAAAATAAATTTCTGAACATCCTGTATAATGTTTAAGAAGTCTGTGTAGTATTTAATACTTTCGTTCTCGAATGCAAAAGCGCCATTTCGCTATTTTGTATCAAAAATAACTATTATATAGAAAAATTTTAAGAAAAAAATTAATAACTTTTATTATATAATTTAAAATGGATTAAAATATTGTTACTTTTTAAAAAAAATCATAACTTTTTTATTTATGAAAATTAAGAAACGATTTATGGCTCACATTAAAGCTGAAGTTGTCCTCTTTCGAAAAGTGTATAAAACAGTTATATAAAGCCACACCGAAAGCAACACTAAGGAACATTGTGTTTATGTTGCTTCATCCTGGAATTTGTATCTCAAATTTTTTTGGATGTTCCTTATTGCTTATGGTTGCAGAAACAAATGTTCTTACAAGTTGCTTGTTTCCGCATTTAGCGATAAATACCATTAGGATATTTAGAAAAAAATTGAAATTTCAGGTTATGACAATCCTTGTGAACTTACCTTAAGAAGCAACTTTAAGCAATCTTTAATTTGATAATTTCTTTGGTGTAATATTCATGCCGATACCTAAAGAAATCATTTTTAACAGCTTTTAACTAAAAAAAGAAAAAAAAACAAGATTAATTAAGAAATTACCTTAATAAAAATACTTAACGATTAAATTAGCACTCAAATTTAGAAATCATCCAATTATTTGTCCCAAATGCGGAAGACGCGGAATGGAGATCGAAAGGATCTCCGGGGAAGGAAAAAGGAATTGGAAAAAGAGTAACGAGTTGCGAAAAAAAAGCGACGCGTTTGTAACGACCTGCTGAAACGCCAATACAATAAACAATCCGAACGGGCGCGTTCGCGCGCAATTAAAATTGTTTAGAACTAATTTAGCGACTTCTTTCTCGGCCGCGCCGGTGTGTCCCGGAGTCGTTATTTAAGATCGTACCAACTCAACTCCGTCCGTTTAAGGTATCTTTTCTGCGACCGTTCAGAAAAAGTTGCCCGATAAAATATCCTTCGTGCCAACGCGACTTTAATGCGGTCGTTCAAATTCTGACCGTATCCGCTAACAGCGCACAATTAGTAGCCTTCGAGATGCGCGGCTTTTAAACGTTTCTTTTATATTTTTTTTTACATTGTCTCTTATTTATGTCTTTATTTAAGATATATCTTATCTTCAAACGAAGCAAAATCAATTTATTATTTAAAAAAAAAATTTATTCTTTTTATTCTTTCGGGATTGTCTACTTAGAAGAAGAAATATAAAAATAAACGTCCTCGTAAGGCCGTGTCGGTGAATTAAGAAATAAAAATTATTTATTTCATCAATTTTGGTTATATCGTGTATATAGATCGATGCAGAATTAAAAATGATGAATTTTGATACCAAACTCGATATAGTTATCTCCAATAATCTCCGAGATATTCAAAAATTAATTTTTTAGACATTCTTTTGTTTTTTTTTTAATTTATGTCATAACTTTTTTGTTTATAAAGATAAATGATTCGAGTTTGGTATCAAAATTCACAAAATTTTCCGCTTAATCCGATAACAATATTAAATAGACACTTTTCGTTACTTTGGCGATTTTTAGCAAATAAGAAACGTCAAAATGACTTAAACATTTTTGTTAATTTTATTAATCTCAAGAATAATTTTTCATCATAACTAGATCAAATAAAAGATTTATTTTAAAAAAATTTTAGTGTCAGTGAATTTCTAAGAAATAAAATTTTTTTATTTCATCAATTTTGATTATATCGTGTATATAGATCGATGCAGAATTAAAAATGACGAATTTTGATACCAAACTCGATATATTTATCTCAAATCATCTTCGAGATATTCAAAAATTAATTTTTTAGACATTCTTTTGTTTTTTTTTTTAATTTATGCTATAACTTTTTTGCTTATAAAGATAAATGATTCGAGTTTGGTATCAAAATTCACAAAATTTTCCGCTTAATCCGATAACAATATTAAATAGACACTTTTCGTTACTTTGGCGATTTTTAGCAAATAAGAAACGTCAAAATGACTTAAACATTTTTGTTAATTTTATTAATCTCAAGAATAATTTTTCATCATAACTAAATCAAATAAAAGATTTATTTTTGAACATTTTTAATGTCGGTGAATTTTTAAGAAATTAAAATTTTTTATTTCATCAATTTTGATTATATCGTGTATATAGATCGATGCAGAATTAAAAATGATGAATTTTGATACCAAACTCGATATATTTATCTCAAATCATCTTCCAGATATTTAAAAATTAATTTTTTAGTTATTCTTTTGTTTTTTTTTGATTTTATGCTATAACTTTTTTGTTTATAAAGATAAATGTGCCAAGTTTGGTATCAAAATTCACGAAATTTTCCGCTAAATCCGATAAAATTATTAAATAGACACTTTTCGTTACTTTGGCGATTTTTAGCAAATAAGAAACGTCAAAATGACTTAAACATTTTTATTAATTTTATTAATCTCAAGAATAGTTTTTCATCATAACTAAATCAAATAAAAGATTTATTTTTGAAAATTTTTAGTGTCGGTGAATTTTTAAGAAATAAAAATTTTTTATTTCATCAATTTTGATTATATCGTGTATATAGATCGATGCAGAATTAAAAATGACGAATTTTGATACCAAACTCGATATAGTTATCTCAAATAATCTCCGAGATATTCAAAAATTAATTTTTTAGACATTCTTTTGTTTTTTTTTTAATTTATGTCATAACTTTTTTGTTTATAAAGATAAATGATTCGAGTTTGGTATCAAAATTCACAAAATTTTCCGCTTAATCCGATAACAATATTAAATAGACACTTTTCGTTACTTTGGCGATTTTTAGCAAATAAGAAACGTCAAAATGACTTAAACATTTTTGTTAATTTTATTAATCTCAAGAATAATTTTTCATCATAACTAAATCAAATAAAAGATTTATTTTAAAAAATTTTTAATGTCAGTGAATTTCTAAGAAATAAAAATTTTTTATTTCATCAATTTTGATTATATCGTGTATATAGATCGATGCAGAATTAAAAATGACGAATTTTGATACCAAACTCGATATATTTATCTCAAATCATCTTCGAGATATTCAAAAATTAATTTTTTAGTTATTCTTTTGTTTTTTTTTGAATTTATGCTATAACTTTTTTGTTTATAAAGATAAATGTGCCAAGTTTGGTATCAAAATTCACCAAATTTTCCGCTAAATCCGATAAAATTATTAAATAGACACTTTTCGTTACTTTGACGATTTTTAACAAATAAGAAACGTCAAAATGAGTTAAATATTTTCATTAATTATATCAATCTTAAGAATAGTTATTCATCATAACTAAATCAAATAAAAGATTTATTTTTGAAAATTTTTAGTGTCGGTGAATTTTTAAGAAATAAAAATTTTTTATTTCATCAATTTTGATTATATCGCGTATATAGATCGATGCAGAATTAAAAATGATGAATTTTAATACCAAACTCAATATATTTATTTCAAATCACCTTCGAGATATTCAAAAATTAATTTTTTAGTTATTCTTTTGTTTTTTTTTAATTTATGTCATAACTTTTTTGTTTATAAAGATAAATGTGCCGAGTTTGGTATCAAAATTCACGAAATTTTTCGCTTAATACAATTTATTATTAAAAAAAAAATTTTATCCTTTTTAATTTTTCGGGGTTGCCTACCTACTTAAGTTAGAAGAAGAAATGTAAAAATAAACGTCCTCGTGAGGCCGTTTATTAAATCGGAATTCGTCACGTATTTTTCTCGGAATCGTTGCCTATTATGCGATAGTATTTTTAAAACGCGCATTTTTTAAACGTTCGTTCACATCTTTACGCTTCTATTTATACACAAACGCGTTTTCATTCATCGATTCCGCTTCATTAATACACATTTAATCAAATCACTTTCGTTTTTTTAATCGACTCCTTACGCAATTCGTTTCATCATCAAATGTTTTGACGTAGTGGCCAAAAAACTTGCCTTATCAGTTTCATGACGTAGGCGTTGATAAAAACGGACGACGATCGTTGTCGTCGTCTTTTGTCGTCATATATAACCGCAGCCGCCCACGATTCGCCTTGGAAAAAGCGAGAGTGCATATAAAAAAGTCAATAAACTCAGGCGGCCTTGCGACTACGGCTGCTGCGATTTTTAAACTCGAGGAGAAGTTTTTTTCTTTTTTGGTTCGTTTCGTCTTCGGGTTGCTTTCGTTTTTCTTTTCCGGGGCCGAAAATATTTCTGCGTTGAGGAAGGTTATGGTTTCGAACGAAGGACGTTCGAATAAAGAAACACGCCCCACTTTTTTATTTTATATTTCGTTCGCTGAACGTTTATTATTAATGATCGCGGCCAATATTAACTTGTGAGATGTATAGGTTAGGTTGGTTTGATTTTTTTGCTTTAAAATAAGAAATATTAAAATAAATCAAGATTTTTTACTTAATAAACGTAGTGTTTTGTGTGTTTAGATTGATAGAAAATTAAAAATGATGAATTTTGATACCAAACTCGATATATTTATCTCAAATAATCTTTGAGATATTCAAAAATTAATTTTTTAGTTATTCTTTTGTTTTTTTCTTAATTTATGTCATAACTTTTTTGTTTATAAAGATAAATGAGTCGAGTTTGGTATCAAAATTCACGAAATTTTTCGCTTAATCCGATATAAACATTAAATTGACACTTTTCGTTACTTTGGCGATTTTTAAGAAATAAGAAACGTCAAAATGTCAAACATTTTTGTTAATTTTATTAATCCCAAGAATAGTTTTTCATCATAACTAAATTAAATAAGTATTTATTTTAAAACATTTTTACTGTCAGTGAATTTTTAAGAAATAAAATTTTTTTATTTCA